AAAAAACAACAAAATTCCCATCAACTGTAATGAAATCAAAATTGAATACTTTTTATTTTATTAAAAAATCTAAATACAGATTAATTTAGCTTTATAAAAAATTCCTTATTTTCCTTATTTTGCCTTAGACCCGTTAAAATTTTGTCTCTCTGGTCTGTGTTCCAGCATTTCAGAGCCCCCAGACCAGATGACCTATCTTCCTTCCAGCTCTGACTTCCCGTTGGTGAGATGCGCAGGTGTTGGGGCAGCAGGGCTGGAGGGACGGACCACTAACCTGCTGGGGCTAGGAGGGGAGGAACTCAGTTCCTCTGTGCTGCTGTCTCGGCAGGGATTTACGGTTAATCGAAGTCACTGAGACCATCTGCAAGAGGCTCCTGGACTATAGCCTGCACAAGGAGAGGACCGGCAGCAACCGGTTCGCCAAGGTTGGGTTTGTGCTTGTCCTTTCTCCCTCTGGGGCTGGGACCTCTGTATATCTAAGTGTGTCTATTTGGTGTTGGGGCAATTTGAAGATCACACCCTGGGAGGTACCCTGCTTGGCCTCTGCATATGTATTTATCTGTGCTGCAAATGTATCCATGAATATGGTAGAGCAGACAGGGGGCAAAGTTATGAAAACTTCTTAGCTATAACCAAACACCTTGAGGGAATGAGTCGCTGGACTCAGGCACTCAGGCCCATAGTCTTGGGAGACACAAGGTAGGTTAGCATGACTTAGTGCAACACATCCATCATGGCCTGCCCATCAGGGTCCTGCCTCAGTGCAAGAAGGGCAGGGAGGCCACATATTCTGACCTCCTCTAACCCCACGAGAGGAAGACAGAATCACCATCAATAGCCCAAGGCCTATTACTGCAAGGCCAGACATGCTGCCTCCCTTCATCCCTTCCTCCCAAAGCACCCACCATCTCTCTCCTGGGTTCGATAATTCACTGCAGTGGCCACACACAACTCACAGATTATGGGGTTTATTAGGGAAGCACCAGCCTACAATTCAAGTTCAGGAAAAATGCTCAGTCTCTCTCCCAGCCCACCATCTCTCAGCCAAGTCTCTCAGTTTCTGTTCCAGCAGTGCGTGTCCCTCAGTGTCTCACTCAGCAATGCGTGTCTCTTGCGTCTCTTTCCCAGCAGCACATGTCTCTCAAAAGCATATGTCTCTTTCAGCAGCACATCTTCCTCAGCCAGCAGTCAGAGAGAGCTCTGCCTCTAGGAGGCCTCCTTTTGAGCCTGGCAGAGTGGCCAAACTAGCCAATCATAGCATAAGAATTCTAAGCACCTGAGAGAGAGCGAGCCTCCCAGAACATTGCGTTGTGCCACGCCCAACAGAAATACCCCAGGTGGATAACATTTATAATCGGGAGCTCCTCAGTTGCTCATTCCACCACTGAGTTTACAAAGACTTACGGGTAGAAAAGCCACACTGAGTAATTTACTACACCACACTCAGTCTCAGACACAGGCAGAAATGTTGCAGGGTGGCATCCCCTTGGGGGCCTAAAGCACTTGAACAGGGAGAACTGAGCAAGGCCCAGGATATGAAGAAGCTTGGAAGTTAGGGAATGTTACAAGATACTTGGTGGGTGGTTATTGCCCATTCCTTCCTCTGGGCTTACGTGGCTAGTACCTGAACTCCACCAGGGTGCCTGTGTCCCATGTAATGCACTTGTGTATGCACAGACGTGGCTCTCCCTGGTGAGTGAGTGTCTTAACAAGGCCTATATCTATCTTTGTATCTTTCACGTAGTAGGCAAGTTGCCTTCACATTTTTCCACCAAGTACCCTTTTGGCAAAGGAGATGGGTCATAAATCCCTACGGTACTTCAGGGTACAATCTAAAACAGCTGAAATCTTAGATTTTATCTTTAAAATTTGTGTGAGTTTTGTGCTATACTCAGTACTAAACCCATGTTTGCTTTAATATAAAAACTTTAAAAAATCACTTTCTGAATGCCAACTGCTCGGAAAGGGAACAAAATTGGAGATCCTATAAGAGGGGGCAAAAAATGTGGAATAAAACTTAAAATCATACAAAAGACCAGGCTTACTGGTCTGATAGAGACTGATAAAACTCCCAAGGCTAGGGCCCCTAGTCACCCTTTGGGCCTGGAATTGAACTTACTCCCGTGGCTTAATTCTCAGCCAAATGACAGGTCTACGAGCTGAACACCTACACCAAGGAGATGCACTCCTTAGAACAACCTACCATGGACGATCAGAAGGGCAGCATTTGCACAGGGAGAAAGGTAGGGAGGCGGGAATACATAGGCAGGAAGGACACAGGGAAAGCGTGACCACTTAGAGGAGATTAAAATAAAGAAAAAAAGCAAAACATTCCACAGCAAAAGATTAAAAACAACCTGAATTTTCACTGTAGAGGAGTAAGTAAATGGATATTATAACCATTTGAGGGAGCTCTGGTGGTGCAGTGCCTAAGGCATTTGACTGTTAACCAGAAGGCCAGCAGTTCAAACCCACCAGCTGCTCCTTGGAAGGAAGATTGAACAATCTATTTCCATAGAGATACTGCCTCAGAAACCCAAGGAGGGGTTGCTTTGAGTCAAATCGACTCATGGCAATGAGTTTGGTTTTGGTATAGCCATTTGATAGAATATTATGCAGCTATATAAACAAAGAATAGGTTTAGCTCTTTATGAACTGAACTGAAATTATCTCCAAGATGTTATGTGAAAAAAGCAAGGTGCAGAATCATGTGTATGATGCACTATTGATGATGCAAAAAGGAAGGATATATTTGTATGTATATGTTTGCTTATATGAATTAACTCTGGAAAGATAAAGATAAATAGATAGTATGCTATCTCTGAGAAGACCTGGGTAGCGTGGAAAGATGCTTGAATACCTTCTACTATATTAAAAAAATCTTAATACAGATTCATTTAGCTTTAAAACTTTATTTTCATTATTCTTTATTATATTATTCACTATAAAGGATCTCCCTTGCCTCAGCTGTGCCCTGTTCACACCAAGGAAAGACACAAGCCCTAGGAAGACATCAGAGCAAGGCGTGGGCCTGGATAGAGGGAAGTGAGTGTGCCCAGCCACAGGGAGGGAAAAGGGCTAGGAATAGCTTTTATTTCCTAGAAAAGGGGTATAAATTCAAAGGCTAAAAGGTAGAGCCTGAGGACAACACTAGATCTCTTTAAAGGGATGAAATGTGAGGAGGCAGGACGTGTGTGTGAGCGCGCGCGCACGCATGCGTGCGCATGGTTGTGAGAGGTGGATCTGAAAGAGGAGAGAATGAATGATAACATCAAGTGTGAGAAGCCTTAGAGTTCACTTCTTAGAGCTAGGTCTTCCGGGCTTCCAGCCCCACCAGGAGAGGAGGGCGGGATGAAGAGAAGGTAGCTCTGCCTTCCGTGTCTGGCTACCTCTTCCAGGGCATGTCAGAGACCTTTGAGACCCTACACAACCTGGTGCACAAAGGAGTCAAGGTGGTGATGGACATCCCCTACGAGCTGTGGAATGAAACCTCAGCAGAGGTGGCTGACCTCAAGAAGCAGGTACAGGCTCTTCTCAGGGGTGCTGTGCCCAACAGGGCTGGGTGGGGGTTGGGACTGTGCCTGAGGAAGGCCACCAAGAGCTAAGTGAGTCATCAAGTCATTTCACCTCCCCAGCTTCATTGTGTGTTTAGGAGAACCACAGCCACCTGCCATCTTGCAGTGAGTTGTGAGGCTCAGTGAGTTCATCCATGAGGTAGCCTGGTGCACGAGCTTTGCCAATGTGATGCGTTATAATTAACAGTGTGATGTGCTGGTGGAGGAATTTGAGGAGGTGATTGAGGACTGGTACAGGAATCACCAGGAGGAGGACCTGACGGAGTTCCTCTGTGCCAACCACGTGCTCAAGGGAAAGGACACCAGTGAGTCTGAGGGGAGGGGGAGGGCGGGCAGGCAGGTAGTCCTGGAGGATTTTACGGTTGGCTTCCTCTCTGGGGAGGTGGGTAGAGACAGGATGGGAAATAAATTGAGGGCATCATAGGATCTGTGCCCTCAGGGAGCTGGACGAGACATAGTGAGGTAAGAGGCACTGGGACCAGGTGCAGAAAAGCAGGTGGACCACGAAGATATACCCAGAGGGGCCTGCTGGCCACAGTGAGGGAGGAGGTGGGCACCAGTTCCAGTTGCTCCCCAGTGAGTGCTTCTCACCCAGGAAGCCACTCCTGAGGCACCTCTGTGAGGACTCTTCCCTCCTCACCCCAGGTTGCCTGGCAGAGCGGTGGTCTGGCAAGAAGGGGGACACAGCCGCCCTGGGAGGAAAGAAGTCAAAGAAGAAGGGTAGCAAGGCCAAGGCCTTGGGCAGCAGGAGCAGCAGCAGCAAACAGAGGAAGGACCTGGGTGGCCTGGAGGGAGACCCTGGCCCCGAGGAGGAGGAGGGCATCCAGAAAGCATCCCCCCTCACACATAGCCCCCCTGATGAGCTTTGAGCCTAACCCAGTGTCCCCTGTACCGAGGGTGTAACAGAGACACCTGACATGGAAGCTGAAGAGGCTGGGGCACAGCTCTGGCAGCCCACAGGTTCCTCCCTGCCTTGGTTCCTCCCTGCCAAGGAAGCCACAGCCCCAGGAAGAACTGAAGAGCGGTAGCGGTCAGCCTGGGCCCAGCCTCTCTCCTCCGCCAAGCGTCTCTCCTGACACAGGCTTGAGCAGGCTTGAGTGGTTTCAGAACTGCAGTTTCAGGACTGCCAAGGACTGTCATGTGAACTCAGGAGGGACAGGCTTGGAGCTGGGCATCAGGACTGGAGCCTAGAGGAAGAACGCTGAGCCTCCAGTCCCCATGCCTCACTCATAGGGAAGCAAGACTGCAGCACCCACAGCTCCACTTCCCTGCTGACCCCTCCTGTGGACACCTTGCGCTCTTCTGGCCCTCCTCCCTGGGACTCACAGTGCAGTGTGTAGAGTAAAATCCTTTTGGCCTTTTTTGTCCCGGTTTCTGAGTCCTCTTCAGCCCCTCAGGGTGTCTGGAGCCTTTTTTCACTCCTTCCTGACCCTCACTTTTTCTCAGCCTTGGGGGCTAAGGGTGGAGAGGCTGCCCCCAGAACCTGCCAGCTATCAGGAACAGCAAGGCCAGAGAGGCCCAGAGTTGTTTTGGGATGAGGAGGTGAAACCCAGCACAGTGCCCTGAGTGGGTCCCCTAGCGTAACCTCACGAGGCAGAGGCAACCATCACAGCTGCCCTCCTTCTCACAGAGTTCCCCATGCCCTCCCCATCTGCTCCCTGGCAGCAGGGCCTCCTTTGTGGCCTGGACGGCTGCTTGCTGTCTTTCCCTTCCCTCCCTCCCGCCTCTCCTCCCCTAAGGCCTTCACGTTTGTTGTGTAAACTGTTTACTGGTTACCCTACCTGTCCCCCTCTCCCTCCCACATCCACCTTGCCCTTCCTGTTAGTCTTGGACCTTGTTCCCCAATGACCACACATGATCACTCTGCTTTTCCCAGCTGGAGTCTGAGGGGAGGCTCAGTCCCCCACCACCACCACTTGGTTATACCACGTTCCCTGAGGCCAGGGGAGGAAGGAAAGGCTGGCCTCTGGGGAGAAGAGGTGGGAGGTTCAGGTCCCTCCCCTTTCAGTCCCCAGGGCAGAGATCAGGGCCATTAGGAGAAGTAGTGATGACAGTTGTACTTTTCCCAGTGTTTCAATGCACTTGTGAAGTGAATTGTCTTAATTCTACTTTATAAAAGGAAACTGGGGGTCAAGTCAAAGAAGTACCCAAAGCCCTACTGCTAATAAGTGGTACACCTGGAGACTGGTACACTCAGCTTTAAGTTTTCACATTAGAAAAGTCCATTGTATTTTCCACTACTTCACAGGTACTGGGACCTCTTCCCACCATCTGTCACTGAAAGTGTAATTCATGTTGAACTGGTTTGATTTCTTGGCTCTAACCCACAACCCACCAACAAGGCTCTTTTAAAAAGAAAATAGGAAGCAACTTTTGCTTCTTGGAGGGAGACCATAGGATGGCCCCAGGAAGCTGTGCCTTCATAGTCAGAGGCTGAGACTGAGACCTCCACCTCATACCTCCCCTGGCTGCAGGTGGAGGACCTGCTGAAGTCCCTCCTCCAATAAAGAGGACTTGGAGTCTGAACTCGGGGTGAGAGACCTACTCAATTTGGGCTTGACCCCTCTTCCCCTTCCTCCAAGTTAAGGCAGCCTTGACCATTGTGGAGCAAATTGGAAGTTTTTTTCCTCTTGAGTCTTTGAACTAGGGCGATCGAGGATGATGCTGGTTGGCAGGGAGATCCCAATCTAGACTCAGGTCCCCCTCTGGACTTTGTTCTGAGCATAAGAGATGGCTGAGGTGGGGTAGGAGCTGGACCCAGGGTGGGCAATCATTTGCAGCCCCTTGGGCTGTCTAGGATTTGGTGACCTGTCTCTGATCTCCCCTCATTTTGTCACTAACCCACTCACAGCATTTCAGTGCCTGGTTTGCCTGTCTCCAGAGCTTCATTGATCCTTAAGATAGGATGGGGCAAAGGCCTGTCCCCTTACCAGGGTGTTGGCCTCATGGCCCAATCCCAGTCCTGAGGGCAGGCAGCATTGCCCTGCTTTGCTCTTTGACCTGTGGCTGCTGGATGACGTGCCCTTTCCCCCTCCCAAGGGCCAGGTATTTTGCATACTCAACTAGCTCTCCCACCCAGCCCACCCCAACAGGCAGCTGCACCTGGCCCAGCCCAGAAAAGGCAGAGGCAGGATCTGGCTTCCAAAGGATTTCCTTATTGCACCCCACCATAAGTCGTTTTGAACTTGCCTATTGAGTCCCATTTTCCCCCACATCTTCCCTCTGATAAGGTGAGGGGACCACCTGATCCTAAGTTAATCCGATCTCAGCCCCCTACTAAAATGGTTTACTAAGCTTGCTTGGACATGAGAGTCACCCGGGATGCTTGTTAAACACACAGATGGTTGGAGACCTAAGACTGTATTCTTAAGCATCTCTCATGATTCTTATGATGTGACCGGCTGGTACCCCCTTCGCCAGGAGAAAGGCTCAAGCAGCATCTGGCAATTTAACCTGTTGCTGTCAAGTTGATTCTGACTCAGGGTGACTTCATGTATATCAGAGTAGAACTGGGCTCCATGGTAGTTGAGGTTATGTGTCAACTTGGCTGGGCCTGGTTTTGAGTAGCTGGTCAGCTGGATGTAGTGATTCCCCATGATGAGACTGGCAGTCAACTCCATGGTGGAATCTGCAGTGAGCAGTTGAGTAGCTGCCTTAGGGATGTGGTCTGCTTCCAGTTTGTAAGGAGAGTGTTGACAAAAGTCTCTGAAGCTTTTTGGCACATTTGGATCCTGTATGTAGCTGAGTCTTCATTCAGCAGCCTGCCATGTTTCCTGCCGATCTTAAAACTGTCTCTGGACTTGAACTTAGTGTCCTGCCATGCTGTTTGCTAATATTGGGACTGTGCCATTTTATTTGTCAATTTTGGACTTCTTAGCCTCAGCAGCCAACAGCTGCCTGTGGGCCAAGAGCAAGAGGCAGAGCTGAAGCCCAAGGTCAGGGAGCTTTCACCTAGCCTATAGAGCTGGTACTTTGAACTTGGCTTCTAGTCTCCTAAATTGTAAAAGAATAAAGCCCTGTTTGTTAAGACCACACATTTGTGGTATATTCCTGTTAGAGCAAGCAGGTAACCAAAATAGCTCCATAGGGTTGTCAGTGGCTGGTTTTTCAGATGTTGATAACCAGGGCTTTCTTCCAGGCACTGCTTCCAGTATAAAAGGAAGGCCCCAGGGAGCTGTGCCTTCACAGCCAGAGGCCAAGGCTGAGACTCCACCTCACACCTCCCCTGGCTGCAGGTGGGGGACCTGCTGAAGGCCCTCAGGGGTCCGGTAAAGAGGACTGGACCCACTGGTCACAGTGGGTCAAGGTCTTGTCTTTAGAAATCCAACTTGTCAGAACCTCAGAATGGATCTACCTCTAAAGGAGAATTCCATCAGCCAGACCCACAAAGGCAAGGGGACAAACCACAGGCCAGTTTGTTCCAGTTCAGTGGTTAAACGAACCACAGGCAGGGATACTGTTGAGTTTCAGGGGCTGGGTTCTAGTCTCAGAGGTGGCTGCATCAGGGCCTGTGTGTATTAGTTTTAAAGGGCAGTGCATACAAGGCAAGCTTCTCTTCTTGCTTCCAAGTTCCTGGGTGGCAACTCCATGCAACACCTCTGTGCATGTTAAGGGTGCTCTTTACACATTTGACTTCCATCTATTAGAAAGCTGTTTAAATATAAGCTGTGTTAGAGTAATAGACTATTTGCCAGAAAAATGTACAATAATAAATACACATGCCTATAAAGTTTTCAATGTGAATGGAGCCCCTTAAATGTGGAGCCCTTAAATAAACAAATATGGTTAAAATAGGAAAAAAAGTGGAGCCCTTGTGCAGCGCACATGTTTACAGCAGCCCTGCATCACTATAGTCCCCAAATACAAAGTTCACTCTCCATCTCATTGAGAACTGATGGCATATACTAAATCGGCCTGCTTCAATGAGCAGTGTCTAACCTGTTACCAGGTGTCATGGAGTGAAGTGTGTCCCACAAAAATAGGTGTCAACTTAGCTTGACCATGATTCTCAGTGGTTTGGAAGTAATGATGTGATCAGCCAATTAGTTGTAAGCGGATTAAAGTAGGATGCAAGCCGCAGGTCACAGCACTGATCAGATGTAAGGGGAGTTTCTATCTTAGAGAAAAATGATTTACCTTGGAGAGGGAGGGAGCGCTTCACCACCAAGAAAGAGCTGGGAGTGTAGTTATGTCCTTTTGACGTGGGGTCCCTGTGCTGAGAAGCTCCTAGACTCAAGAGAAGATCAAAACACATGGAGATCTCTTAGAAACTCTGAACCCACAGATGTTGAAAGGAGACAAGAACATTCAGAACTGACACAGAAAGCCTTCCCAGAGACTTTTCATGCAAGAAAATTTAACGCTCAGAAAACATATTACAACAAATTACTATATTTTATTTTTAGATATAGCTCTTTCATCTCTAACATGTTATAATTAAAACCATTTCTTTTTCTGTTCTTTGCTCTTATAAATTCTTCAATTATTTCCTCACAGTTAAGTTGCCAAACAATATCTACTTCCATACATAATAAAAATAATGAATCCAATCTTTCTTGAATCATTGTACACTGAGGATTTTTGAGACTCTAAAGACAAAAATGAGCATTCTTTCATGCAGTCTGTCATCATTAAAGTTAGGAATACACATAAAGCAATTTCAACATTGGAAAATACACATTCTATTTTATCTTCCACAGTGGAATCACACATGCCCACATGAAATTTGTCTTTCCTGAATCTATAAATTTAGTTCTCATATAAGAATCAAATTGTTGTACTTCTCTGTAAATGTCTATATTTAAGTCATCAGGATAAGCCTGCACTAATTTCTTGGATTCTTTCATGAATTCTTCATCAGTCATATCCA